AAGCCGGCACCGCCAACACCTCCACTCACCAGTCTCCAAAATCGTACCTGTGAACCATCCCCAGCCCGTGCCACCACCATCAACAAAAAAATGCAGCGCCTACACCACCATCCGCCAGCCATGTCACCACCAGCACCCACGACAGAAAACCTAAAAAGTCGGCACCGCCAACACTCCACCTGCTAGTCTTCAAAATCGTACCTATGAATTAGGGCAGACATCACGCGATGCTGATTAAGGCAGACGAGCGGTGCACGTTGAGGCGGCGGGCGACGGTTGAAGCTGTATCAGTTTGGAGTGAGAGAGACGGTGGTGAGCAAAGAGAGACCGCCGGAAGGTGGGCGATGACGTGGAAAGGAGATCAGATAAGTGATTTTAGTGGAGGTTGAGCGGCAGAGGGCGGAGGACGCCGTAGAGAGGGACGAGAGAGATTCTTCAAAGCGGGAGATTGAGAAATGAAATTAGGGTTGATATATTAAATTTTATAATGTTAATATTACTATTTAAATAAATATAAAAAATATGTATCAATATATTAAAATATCTGATTTTTGAAAATATAACTATGAAATCTGATTTTAGAATTTGGATCTTCAAAAGTAGGGAATGGTGTAATTTCCACTACTTTTTAAACATTTATTGGGAGGCGTATATAAGGTTGGAGTCCAGGACCAGGCCAGTCCAAGGCCCATTTAATCTTTTGCCTTATAAAATAATTTTATATGTAAAAATATGTAAATATTTTTTAATCAAGCCCTAGCTCTGTCCCCGCATTTATTGTCGTTGATTATAACAAAAATTTATATATTGATGATTTGCATTGAAAAGAAAGAAAACTAAAGATGAAATAATGATCCGTACAATGAAAAGAAAGAAAATAAAAGAAGAAATAAGGAAAAAGGAAATGAAGCGATATATGCCAAAATAAATCTTCTCAAGACATATTTTATCTCCTGCACTGGTGTCAAGATTTATCGGACATCTAATGCTCAAGATACAATACTTCTTTCAAAGTCAATATTGCACTATACCAACATTGTTTGTCGCATCAATTTGTTGATTATACTCTTCTTGAATGAAATGAAACATGAACTTGAACTTGTTCGGACTAAATTCTATTTCTGAAAAATAGTTTGGATAGAACTTTGGAGAGAGAAGATTCAGGAATCAATTTAATTTTATAATTGATTTGGTGTAAGAATTCTAAAACTAGGGGTCCCTTCATATAGAATTCTAAGTGTCTCTCATAATTATTTGCTTCAGATTAGTCTCTGCCCATGATCACACCGGCCATTTAGTTTGTGCAGTCCGGATTTCACTTGTTAGAGATGATTCATGACTCTTCAGTGTACATCTGTTGTATTGGAACAGGCACATCCAATCATCACGCCTTTCATCATGCAGATGCCAAGTGCAAAATAGTACCTACAACCGTTACTGCTACATAAGCTTGCACTCACCGAGCCACCTTCCTCCTCGTCATTGAACGAGGGTTCTATTTATGAAAACTTTTAGGCACCTCAATGCATGCAAAGTGTGCCTCTAAAGCACCCTTTCATGCACGGGTGCTGGTGGTTCGAAACACCACCCCAGAAGTTAGCCTATGGCACTAATTGCTAGCCTATGGTTGGCCAATGTTTAGGTAGACTAGTAGTATTAATTGACCATATCAAAATGTGTTCCACTATATAATCAAGTTACAAACTTGTAATCTTTTCAATATAGGATTCAATTATATCTTGTACACTTAAAAAATATCCTAATAGACTTATTCCATGGTCCTTGTTGTAAACTAGAATGCTCTGATACCAGTTTGTTGAGAAACGCGGAAGATATCGGATAACTTCAATATTAATTTGACGAAGACGGTACGAGATCATAGACACAATATGAAATAAAGATCACAAACTTTTAAGAAAAATATAATTTGTAGAGCAAAGAAGATTTTACTAAAATGTAGAGAAAAAATACAATGGTTTGTATTTACAATTTGTTTAACTAATAATGTGGCTAAACAAACTTTCAATAAGGTTAAATCAATCTATAATGAGGTTAACAACCCATAATAGGGTAAAACCAACTCAACTAAATTGTAGAGAAGGGTTAAATCAATGCACGTTTGCCTATCTTATATTTAATAGTTTTGTTTAAG